GCACTGGGTGACAGCTATGAGAAAATTGAGTGACATGTCATTAAACTCTCCTCACCCTTCCCAGGGAGTAACTTTTTTTTTTTTTTTTTTCTGAGACCCAGCCTGGAGTGCAATGGCACGATCTTGGCTCACTGCAACCTCTGCCTTCCAGGTTCAAGTGATTCTCCTGCCTCAGCCTCCTGAGTAGCTGGGATTACAGGCGCCCGCCACCATGCCCAGCTACTTTTTTTTTTTTTGTATTTTAGTAGAGGCGGGGTTTCACCATGTTGGTCAGGCTGGTCTTGAACACCTGACCTTGTGATCCACCCGCCTCGGCCTCCCAAAGTGTTGGGATGACAGGCGTGAGCCACCGCGCCGGGCCCCCAGGGAATGAATCATCAGAACTGTAACCCGGATGCAGGGGTGAAAACGTGGGTACTTTTGCCCCATTTCCCAAAGACAGAGGCGGCCCCTGCCCTCGGCCACAGGGCTGGTGAAGGGAGACACACAAAGAATCACCGGAAGTTTGTTGATTGACAGCAAATCCGGGCTTCCCTGCACAATCTCATTTAATCCCTCAACAGCCCATAGCGTGAAGACTGAGGCACAGAGAGGGGCTCGCCCAGCCCACGGTTCCACCCCAGGTCCCCACAAGCGGCCCCGACGGGCCCCTGCGTCCTCACCTCCACCCTCCCCAGGCCTCTGGCCTCTGCCCCTGCGCACCCCGCCCCGGGTGTCCCTTCCCCCCGCGCCCGCGGCACCTGGAGAACCACGATGTCGTTGAGCAAGTTGATGGGGTCGTAGCCGTTTTCGAAGACGCGCTGCACGGCGAACACCTGCCGGGTGCGCTCCTGCCGCTGCAGGTTATGGGCTCCCAGGACCACGCGCACGGAGCGGAAGTTTCTGCTGGGAGGAGAGGCGGTGGCGAGGGGCGGCCCTGGGGGTCAGGGGGTCCCCACCCGAGGGGCCTGCGGGGGAAGGTGCTGGAGCCGCCCGGGGCCCTGGCCTCCCCCGACCCATCTCAGACCGGGACGCGGGTCCGAGCCGGCCGCACACCCTCCTGGCTACTCACACGTTCGCCACGCAGTGCGCGGCCGACATGACGAAGTTGGGCGCAATCAGGGTGGCGCCGCAGAAGTGGCCTCCACGCCGCTGCAGGGACGCCATGAAGGGCCACGCGTGGGGCTGCGCTCGCCGGCCGCCCACAATCTCGGAGGCCAGCGCGGGGCCTGGGGACACAGCGGGCGTGGGTGCTGAGTGCCTGACAAGGAGCACGTGCCTTCCCAGCCACCGGGCCCCTGGATGCCCCACCAGGAACCCGCGGGACCCACCGCCAGGAACCCGCGGGACCCACCGCCAGGAACCCACGGGATCCCCCACCAGGAATCCACGGGATCAGGGTCATTCACACCCCTGTTGTTCAGATGAGGGAAACTGAGGCACGGAGAGGCAAAGGGACCTCCCCATGGTGCCCCTCCAAGGTACAGCCAGACCTGGACTTGAACCCAGAGGGTGCCCTGCGACCCTCCCCCCGGTTTGCAAGCCCCAACTCTGGGCTCCTGGTGGTGGCTTCACCACTCAGAACCTCAGTCTCTTCTCCTGGTCCCCTTGTCCCAGCTGGCACCTCCCCTGTGAGGATGAGGGACCCACACTGGTGGGGCCCACCATGAAGAAGTGGGAACAGAACCCCAGGGACAGAGGGAGCAGCGGGAGGATGGACACAAGGACTCACCCCCCAGCAGCAAGGCCGGCAGGACACAGGCGAGGAAAAGACAGGAGAGTCGGCAGCCAAGGGTCATAGTGAGGCTGGTCTCCGGGGTCTCTGCCCCTCCGTGCCCACCCGGCTTCTCTTATAGCCCTGTGCCAGGAGGCCGTTGCATTGCCCCATGGCTGGCCAGCGCCCCCCACTTCCTCTCTCCTGGCACAGGGCGTTGATGAAAAGGGGGAGAAAGGGGGCAAGAGGCTGGGGTTGGCTCCGGTGGGGCCGCCAGACAAAATTCAGGATGCACAATCGCGTTTGAATGTCAAATAATCGACATGGGTTTTTTAATTTATTTTTTTGGAGACAGAGTCTTGCTCTGTCGCCCAGGCTGGAGTATGGTGGCACAATCTTGGCTCACTGCAACCTCTGCCTCCCAAGTTCAAGTGATTCTCCTGCCTCAGCCTCCTGAATAGGTGAGATTACAGGCGTCCACCACCACACCCGGCTAATTTTTGTGTTTTTAGTACAGACCGGGTTTCTCTGTGTTAGCCGGGCTGGTCTCAGAGGTTTTTTTTTTTAATTTAAGTCTGTCCCAGTACGTCTTTAATAAATTAAGACTTAAATACTTAAGCCTTAATTTAAGTATAAGGATATACTTACCCGAAATGCCCAGGTTTTACTGAGCATCGCTGTGTTTTTGCCAAAGCTGCCAAACCTAGACCTGAGGGGCTTAATGGGGGTGGCCTCGCCTGCCTCAGTTTACCCAGGGCCCTGTGATACCGGCCACATGCAACTGTGTCGCCTGCCTCAGTTTACCCAGGGCCCTGTGATACTGGCCACATGCAGCTGTGTCGCCTGCCTCAGTGTACCCAGGGCCCTGTGATACCAGCCACATGCAGCTCTGTCGCCTGCCTCAGTTTACCCAGGGCCCAGTGATACCAGCCACATGTAGTTGTGTTGGGCACTCACGGTGCAACAGGCACCTCCCTGATCCTTCTCAGGGTTCCTGTTTGGGATGAGGAAACTGAGGCATGTCAAGGGCCTCCCCCAGGAGCTGCGAGTTTAACCCAGGTCTCTGGGACCCCCAGTTGGATGGAGATCTGGAGCTGGCTTACTCCAGCCTTGCTCCCTGAACCTCAGGGCTCACTCTCAGGGCCGGGCCTTCCATCCTGTCCTTGGTGGTCACCCACAACGGGGATCTCACTCTCACCCAGGCTCACGGTCAGTCCCTGGACAGCAGCTGAGGCTCTGACAGTCTCGCCCGCCCTTCTGCCTTGATGAGCTTCCCCGAAGCCCTCCCTGCCTGAGGCAGGGGACTGGCAGGCATCTGACAAGGGTGCAGGAGAGAGAATTCCTGCCCAGGCCGGGAGGCTGGAATGAGGATGTCCACCCAAGCCTGAGGGCTTCTGCCTGGAGGAACTGGCAGGGGAGCTGGAGCCCCAGCCACGGGGATGGGATTCCCAGGACCCAGCCCCGGGCTGCAGGCCCGTTCCTCTTCCCATCTCCCCCACGATGTTCCAGCTGCAACGGCCGGGCCAAGGCTGTTGCAAGAACCAACGTCCTCCTGGCTCCGGGACAAGGGGAGGGGAAGGGAACCAACGGGCCTGTCTCCAGGAACAGGCGGGGCGAGGGCACCCGGGGACATGCAGAGCCTGGGCCGGGCTGGAGTCCTGACGTGACCACAGACAAGTGGACTCCCATAACTCTCAGGTTAGAGGGACAATGGCCCTGCCCTCCCAGAGCCTGGCACACAGCAGGCACTGCATCCACGTCTGTCCTGTCCTCAGCGTAATCAGACACACACTACCCCGCCTTCTCCGCTCCCCTTTTGGCAGGGTTCCCACCTTGCTGCCTTAACATCACCGTGGTGCACTTAGTTAGCACCTGCTGTATACACAGCCCTGTTTCAAGTTGGGGGTGGGGGGACTTTAGGGGTGGGGGCGGCCATATCTTTGGGGGGGGCTTGGCCTCCAGCAGGGAGATCAGACTTGACGTCAGCTGCATTTATTGAGCACCAGCTGTATACTACATTCGCACCTGCAGTCATTGTTAAGTGTGCCGACGCTGGGTTCATATCCTGTTTCTGGTGTGGCCATTTGGCCACTGTGTAGCTTCAGGCCCCTAAAATAAACTCCGTGACTCAGTTTCCTCCTCCATAAAATTATAATCATGGGATCCATCACATAAACCTGTCACGAGGGTGAAATATATTAACGTTCGTAAAGTTCTTAGCTAAGAAAGTGTTGTCTGGCCGCGCGCGGTGGCTCACGCCTGTAATCCCAGCAGTTTGGGAGCCTGAGGCGGGTGGATCACTTGAGGTCGGGAGTTCGAGACCAGCCTGACCAACATGGAGAAACCCTGTCTCTACTGAAAATACAAAATTAGCCATGCCTGGTGGTGCATGCCTGTAATCCCAGCTACTCAGGAGGCTGAGGCAGGAGAATCACTTGAACCCGGGAGGTGGAGGTTGCAATGAGCCGAGATCAGGCCACTGCTCTCCAGCCTGCGTGACAGACCAAGACTCTGTCTCAAAAAAAAAAAAGGAAAAAAAAGAAAAAGGACAGCAAGGAGCTATGTGTGTCCTGGAGCAGGTCGTCCCCTCTCCGTGGTTAATGCCTCCTTCTCGTGGCCACTTATCTGTCTGAGCGGGACTGTGAGTCCCACCTCTTCCCCGCCTCAGACCGCCCCTCTGGCCTCTCCCCCAGTTCATTCCTCATGCTTCCACCAGGGGACTCCTCCCCTGCCTACCCCTCCTAGGAGAAATAGCGCTCCAACCCCGTCACCCCTCCCCTGCACCGACACCCCTCCCCTGCCTGCCCTCCTCCCCGTTCCCTGGCCTCTCATCCTCAGGCCTCTGCCCAGACCGTGCCCCCTGCCTGGTGGCCCTTAGGATGTTTCTGTTCACACCTTGGTATGCAGCTCTGGCACTGCCACCTCCTCCAGGAAGCCCTCCAGGGTGCTCCCCCATCCCCATCCCCCTCCTCAAGGAGCCCCTGAGCCGGCAGGGACACAGCTGGAGCCCTGAGGGCCCACATGGGCTCCTCGCCAGTTCTAGGAAACGCCTGGGGTGACTCCATTTCCCAGATGAGGAAACCGAGGCATGGAAATGAATAACAACCTGCCCAGGGCCACTCTGATGGGGCCGGATTAGAACCCACAGCCACGAGCATCCAGGAGAGAGACCCCCTGCGACCTGGGCCCCCATCCCCGCTCCGACTCTCCCCATCCTGAGTTTGGGACTCAGGGACTTGAACCCTGGGGACCTCTGGGCAGTTCTCCCTCCGCTCCCTATGTGGGAAGGACAGACAGGAGCCGGGGGGGAGTTTCAACATTTATTGAGGTCACGGCGGGGAGAGGTGCAGGGCCGGCCTGTCTCCCGGAGCCCCGAGGGAGGCAGTGTGGGGCGACGGGTGGGGCTGTCCCGGACCCGGGTGGAGGAGGCAGTGTTCGGAGAAGAGCTGCTTCTGTCCAAAGATCCCCCTCGAGGGTTTGGAGCCGGGCTCGGGTCCCGGCCAGTGCGGTGGAGGCGGCTCAGGGGTGGCCCTCGGCCCCCACGCGGCGCAGCGTGGAACGGATCCAGTCCACGTAGAGGGCTACCCGTGCGAAGAAGTCGGGAAACTGGCGGGTGGCACATCCCCGGATCACAAAGGAGTCTACTCCCTGGATGACGCCGTCACAGATCAGGGGGCCACCTGAGTCTCCCTGGAGGATGGGGGATGGTCAGTCACCTAGGCTGGCCCCAGGCAGCCAGGACGGGGACTGGGGTGACCACAAGCTGTTTCAGAATCAAATGCTTCCAATCTGGAACTTTCCCTCCCTCCCTCCCTCCCTTCCTTCCTTCCTTTCTCCTGTTTTGTTGTGTTTTGTTTTGTTTTGTTTAAGACAGAGTCTAGCTCTGTCGTCCAGGCTGGAGTACAGTGGTGTGATCTTGGCTCACTGCAAACTCTGCCTCCTGGGTTCAAGCGATTCTCCTGCCTCAGCCTCCGTGGGTAGTTTTCTTTCTTTCTCTCAAGACAGGGTCTCGCTCTGTCGCCCAGGCTGGAGCACAGTGGCACAATCATAGCTCACTGCAACCTCGAACTCCCTGGCTCAAGCGATCCTCCTGCCTTAGCCTCCTGAGTAGCTGAGCCTAAAGGCTCACACCACCACACCCGGCTAATATTTAAATTATCTGTAGAGATGCCGTCTTGCCCCAGGCTGGTCTCAAACTCCTGGACTCAAGCGATTCTTCCACTTCGGCCCACCAAAGTGCTGGGATTACGGGTGTGAGCCACTGCTGCTGGCCTGGAATTTTCTTTAAAATGTGTGAGCACCAGCCAGGCACGGAGGCTCACGCCTGTAATCCCAGCACTTTGGGAGGCCGAGGTGGGTGGATCACTAGAGGCCTGGAGTTCAAGACCAGCCTGGGCACCATAGCAGGACGGCATCTCTACAGATAATTTAAATATTAGCCAGGTGTGGTGGTGTGAGCCTTTAGGCCCAGCTACTCAGGAGGCTGAGGCAGGAGAATACCTTGAACCTGGGAGGTGGAGGTTGTGGTGAACCAAGATCTCACCACTGCTCTCCAGGCTGGACAACAGAGCGACACTCTGTCTCAAAAACAAACAACAAAAAAAGTGTGAGCAGGGAGGGGCTGAGGTCATTTGTAGGAACTGGGCATTTATGGGCCTCCTGCTGGATACCTGGACTCCTGGATTCTGGAAGGCGCCACCAGGTGAGGGCAGATGGATCTCCCACACCTTCCTGTGGTCCTAGAGGGGAGTGGGGGGCAAGGGACCCCCAGACCCATCCACGCAGCCAGGTGCAATGTGAGTGCCCCAGCCCGCCGGGCCTGCCCGTTGGGTGTGCCTGCCTTCCAGGTCCGGAGACAGGCACAGCATGAAGCCACACAGCTAGGAAGTGGCGTGGAACCCTGGTTGCCGCCCTCCTCCCCTCAGGGCAGCCCGGATCGCCACGGGGAGCGATGTTACTTACAAAGCAGATGCCGGCACTACGGCGAGGGACGAAAGTGCACACGTTGTGTGGCCGGCACAGGAAGGTGACCACGGTGACATTGAGCTCCTGCAGGACCCGGGCTGGGGGGTCGTGGGTGCCCACGCGTCCCCAGCCCATGGCCAGGCACTGGGTGCCGTGGGGCACTGGCTGGTCCTGCTGTGGCAGCTGGACTGTGGCGACGGAGGCACTGAGGTTGGCCGGACGGTTTAGCTGGGGCAGAAGGCAGATGGCAGTGAGACGTTGCTCCCACGCCACGGTGGCCGCCCAGGCCACCCTCCCACCACACCCACCGCCTCAAAACACCACGCACGGCACGCCGCTCCCTCCGCCTGGGCCCCACGACCCCCTTTGTCCCATTTGTCACTATTGTATTCATTCATTTTCTTTCTTTTCTTTTCTTTTTTTTTGTTTTTTGAGATGGAGTCTCGCTCTGTCACCCAGGCTGGAGTGCAGTGGCCGGATCTCGGCTCACAGCAACCTCCGCCTCCTGGGTTTATGCCATTCTCCTGCCTCAGCCTCCCGAGTAGCTGGGACTACAGGTGCCCGCCACCTCGCCCGGCTAGTTTTTTTTGTATTTTTTAGTAGAGACGGGGTTTCACCGTGTTAGCCAGGATGGTCTCGATCTCCTGACTCGTGGTCTGCCCGTCTTGGCCTCCCAAAGTGCTGGGATTACAGGCTTGAGCCACCGCGCCCGGCCAAAAAAAAAAAGCCGTTTATAGAGATGGGGTCTGACTAGGTTGGTCAGGCTGCTCTCAAACTCCTGGCTTCAAGTGATCCTCACATCCCGGCCTCCCAAAGTACTGGGATTACAGGCATGAGCCACAGTGCCCAGCCCCAAGCACTTACTGAGCACCACCTGTATGCCCGGTCCTGTTCTAAGCCGTATGAGTCCAATAGTGAACACCACAGACAAAAACCCTCTGACCTGGGGAGATGGCCTTTCGGGGTGAGAGGAGGCCAGGAGCGCCGGGTGACTGAGAGGAGCACACGGCTCAGTGGAGAACAGTGAATCGGGGAGGGCTGTGGCTGTCCTTGCCACTTCAAGTGGGGTCAGGGGAGGTGCCAGAGGAGGCAAGGGTACCTGGGTTTCCAGGGGAACAGCATAGGGGGCAGAGGCACAGCCAGGGCAGAGGCGGGGAGGAGGAGGGGCCTGGTGTTCACAGAGCGGTCTCTCCCCCCATTGCCACCGGACCCAGGCTTCAGCGGCCTCCGTCGTGGCCCAGTATACAGTGGGTGCTCAATGAATGCTTGCTGAAGGAATGGGGGCCCCGGAGCCCTCCCTCGCGGCCCTGCCCGCCCACCTGGATGAGGAGAACGTCGTTCAGTTTGTTCTCAGCGTCGTAGTTGTTCTGAAACACCTGCGCCACCGCGAAGTGCTGCTGGCCGGGCTCCTGCGTGTGCACGTTGTGGGCTCCGAGCACCACGTTCACCAGGCGGTGGGGGCTGCGGGGGTGGCGCGGTCACTCCTCGGCGCCCTGGACACGCGCTGCGCCCCGCACCGGGCCCTTCCCGAGGCCGGCGGAGCAGCCACAGACCCCCTCCCCCGGCGACCCTGTCCCCGGGGACCCCCAGAGCGCTGCCCCGGCTCTCCCCGCTCCCACAGCTGCCCACGCGCGAGGGGCCTGGGGTCAGCAGCCGGGGCTCAGCCGGGTCCTCCCCGGGCAGAGGGACAGCGGCCCGGCCGGGGCTGGAGGAAGAGGCCGGCGCGGACGGACGGCGCTGGGGACGGGACCCTCACATGTCCTGCAGGCAGTGCGCGGCCGTCAGCACGAAGCTGGGGTGGATCAAGGTGCCCCCGCAGAAGTGGCTGCCCAGGTCGCTCTGCACCTGCAGCGAGGCCATGTAGGGCCTGGAGTGTGGCTGCGCCTCGCGTCCGCCCACGATCTCCGCAGCCCGGGCAGCACCTGCGGGGGAGTCCAGGCGTCAGGGAGCCCCCAGGCTGCAGGGGAAGGGGGGATGGCAGAGCAGCCCCGGGGGTCTCCCCGTCTGCAACCCCCTCAGCGCCTGCCGGCTGGTGGGGAGGACCCAGCGCCCGGGCCGGGGGTTATTGCGAAGGCGCAAAAAAAAACGAGGCGGCTGTTTTCAGTCCTGAGAGTCAGGAAGGTTTTTAAGACGCAGACCAGGCCGGTGGCTCAAGCCTGTCATCCCAGCACTTTGGGGAGGCCGAGGCGGGTGGATCACGAGGTCAGGAGATCGAGACCATCCTGGCTAACCCGGTGAAACCCCGTCTCTATTAAAAACACAAAAAATTAGCCGGGCGTGGTGGCGGCGCCTGTAGTCCCAGCTACTCGGGAGGCTGAGGCAGGAGAATGGCGTGAACCCGGGAGGCGGAGCTTGCAGTGAGCCAAGATGGTGCCACCGCACTCCAGCCTGGGCAACAGAGTGAGACTCTGTTTTTATTTTATTTTTTTTTTTTTTGAGACGCGCCCGGCCGAGACTCTGTTTTTAAAAAAGGCTGGGCACAGTGGCTCATGCCTGAGTGAGACTCTGTCTCAAAAAACAAAAGAGAACAACAACAACAACAAAAAAGAAGCAGAAAAAAAAAAAAAAATACAGCCGACAAGGAGACCCATTTTGCAGATGGACAAACTGAGGCATTGAAAAATTTCCCCCTCAGGTCAGGAGTTCGAGACCAGCCTGACCAACGTGGTGAAACTAAAAATACTACTACTAAAAATACAAAAACTAGCCAGGTGTGGTGGTGTGTGCCTGTAATTCCAGCTACTCAAGAGGCAAAGGCAGGAGAATCACTTGAGCCCAGGAGGCTGAGGCTGCAGTGAGCTGAGATTGCACCACTGCACTCCAGCCTGGGCGACAGAGTGAGATTCCGTCTCAAAAAACAGAAAAAAGGCTGGGCGTGGTGGCTCATGCCTGTAATCCCAGCACTTTGGGAGGCCGAGGCAGGTGGATCACAAGGTCAGGAGATCGAGACCATCCTGGCCAACATAGTGAAACCCCTTCTCTACTAAAAATACAAAAACCTAGCCGGGCGAGGTGGTGGGCGCCTGTAGTCCCAGCTACTCGGGAGGCTGAGGCAGGAGAATGGCGTGAACCCGGGAGGTGGAGGTTGCAGTGAGTTGAGATCTGGCCACTGAACTCCAGCCTGGGTGACAGAGTGAGACTCTATCTCAAAAAAAAAAAGAAAGAAAGAAAGAAAGAAGGAAAGAAGAAAAGAAAAGAAAAGAAAAGAAAAGAGAAAAGAAAAGAAAGAAAATTGCCCTCAGGATAGGGACCTGAGGGGCCCATGCTCTCTTCCTCCCCTGATTCTGGCATCACTAACTCCTTGACCCTTTCACTCACTCACTCACTCACTCATTCATTCATTCATGCATATTCACTGAGCGTTTGCTGAAGGTTGGGTGCTGTCCAGGAATTTGCCTGTTATAGGTAATTCTCAAAACAGCTCCCCAGGAGGAAAGGACTGGCTTTAGATCATTGTACAGATGGGCAACTGAGTCAAACGGCCAGGGGTCCCCCTTGCCCTTGTCCTCCCCATCCCTGCAAGCATTGGTCCCGAGCAGTGAGTGGAGTCTCCCCTGACCCTGCCTCAGTTTCCCCAGCTGTGCCAGGAGGGCTTTGGATGGACCTCGTGGTGGATATTTCCCCAGAATCCACCGGGGCCCGGAGGCTGGACGGACGGGCACGTGGCTCACTCACCACTCAGCAGCAAGACCAGCAGCACGGACGCCAGGGCAGGGCTGGGGGGCCGGTGGCTGGGAGCCATGGTGGGGTCCAGGGTGCACCCACAGTCAAGCTCCTCTTATAGCCCAATGGCAGAGGCCGTTGGGTTGCCCAATGCCCAGGCTGGGTCCCCACTTCCTCCTTTTGCCTTGGGAGCCCGGGAGTCAGAACGGACTCCAGGGAGGATGCGGGCGCTTTGGACTCAAGGTCCTGAACTTCGTGGGGGCGGGGAGGCTGGCTCTCACCCACCCAAGTCGGGGGTCCCTGGCCAGGTGGGCAACATGGCCACAGCCCTCAGCGCAACACACACCCACGTGCCACCCACAAGGAGATGCCTCCCTGACGAGGTCCCTGTGGCCCCCACAAAGCGGGCCGTGACAGCCGTGTCCCATGGGTGGGTGAGCTGGAAACCGACAGGTGCAGGGGACAGGATGCGGAGCTGGGGAGGGCGGGGCCCCACGAGTGCCCTCAGTGCCCGAAGCCCCAGCGGACATCCTCCTGCCAGCTTTTGTCTGGGGGTTTTGTTCCCCCTTTAAGGCCACGATTCTCAATCAAGGGGTGATTCTGCCCCAAGGGGACCCTGGGCGAGGTCTGGGGACACCTGTGGCTGTCACGACGATGGGGGTCTCCGGGCATGGAGTGGGTGGAGGCCAAGGATGATGCCGAGCACGCTGCAGTGCCCAGGACGGGCCCACCCCAGAGAAGGATCCAGACCCCGTGTCCACAGCGCCCCAGAGAAGGATCCGGACCCCGTGTCCACAGCGCCCCAGAGAAGGATCCGGACCCAGTGTCCACAGCGCCCCAGAGAAGGATCCGGACCCAGTGTCCGCAGCGCCCCAGAGAAGGATCAGGCCCCCATGTCCACAGTGCCCAGGGGAGAGACCCTGTGTTCATTATTTGTGGGAAAAAAATGGCCGGGCGTGGTGGCTCACGCCTGTAATCCCAGCACTTTGGGAGGTTGAGGTGGGTGGATCACCTGCAGTCAGGAGTTCAAGACCAGCCTGACCAACATGGCGAAACCCCATCTCCAGTAAAAATACAAAAATTAGCGGAGCATGGTGGCGGGCACCTGTAGTCCCAGTTACTCTGGAGGCTGAGGCAGGAGAATCGCTTGAACCTGGGAGGCGAAGGTTGCAGTGAGCCGAGATCGCGCCGCCGCACTCCAGCCTGGGTGACAGAGCGAGACTCCATCTTAAAACATAAATAAATACAAATAAAAATAAAAAATAAAAAATGGAGTCTGCCCCCTGGTCACACCAGACACCAGAATAAACTCCCAACGGGGCGTACGGCGTAAACCAGGGGGCCCCAGCTCCTGGGACTCACCTCCTCTCTCCCTCCCCGCTCAGGGCGCGGATTTCAACGTGTGCAGCCTCCTGGGACCTCGGCAGGGCAGAGGATCATGGGGGTCCGTGGAACCCACTGACCCTGGGGTGATTCTGCTCCCAGGGGTCCCTGGGTGAGGTCTGGAGACATCTGTGGTTGTCACGACTTGGAGGGAGCTCTTGGCAGGGCCTGCGATGGCCAGAATGGCCCCACCCCAGAAAACAATCCAACCTCCATGTCTGCCATTCCGGGAACGCGGGAAAGCCCAGGACAGAGGATAATATTATTTATTTATAACTGAACAGTTTAAACCTACAGTGACATAGAGAGAAGCATTGAATGAACTTGGAGACCAAAAAAAAAAAAAAAAAAAGCTTTTCAACGTTTCACTTGGAAACGATTCCCACTTACAGAAGTCCAAAGGGTCCGGACTCCCTTCCGCCCTCCGGACTCCCTCCCACAGCTTCCCTAAATTCCGTCCTGTTGCTCAACTCTGAGGCCGTGATCGAACCCAGGGCGTGAACATCGATTGGAAACGGTCCCCTCCTCCCAGGGCCCCTGAGTGTCGCCGGCCGCCCTTTGCCGGGTCCTGGGTGCCCACGCCACCCATCTTCAGCTGCCAGGGTCTCCTCTGATGGGCGCAGTCCCTCTGCCCTCCCGCAGCCCACGGGATGTTGAGGGGAGCTGGTGGTCGCTCTGCGGAGCGTCCCTCCGTGGTGATGGTCCCTGGTTGCCTCAGGGCTCGGTGGAGGGAGCCCCGGGCGCGGCGTGTGTCTGTCTGGGGCCCCCACATAGGAGCCCACGGCTTCGGCCTGTCTGGTGCTGAAGATAATAACCTTGACCACGTGGTCAGGGTGTCTGCCAGTTCCTGCACTGTCCAGTTACTGTTTCCCCTGCCTTTTTTTTTTTTTTCTGAGACAGAGTCTCACTCTGTCGCCCAGGCTGGAGTGCCATGGTGCCATCTCAGCTCACTGCAACCTCCACCTCCTGGGTTCAAACAATTCTCCTGCCTCAGCCTCCTGAGTAGCTGGGATTACAGGCGCCCGCCACCACGCCCGGCCATTTTTTTTTTTTTTCTTTTTGTATTTTTAGTAAAGACGGGGTTTCACTATATTGGCCAGGCTGGTCTCGAACTCCTGACCTCAGGTGACCTGCCTGTAATCCTGTCAAAGTGCTGGGAACACAGGTGTGAGCCACTGTACCTGGCTATAATATTAATGTATATATTATAACATATGTATATAACATATATGTATACATAAAATATGTAACATGTATATTATTTATATTATATAATATATAATATTTTACAATATACATATATTTTTTGAGACAGGGTCTGGCTGTGTCACCCAGGCTGCAGTGCAGTGGTGCAATCATGGCTCACTGCAGCCTTGACCTCCTGGGCTCAAACAATTCTCCTGCCTCAGCCCCCAAGTAGCTGGGACCACAGGTACGCTCCACCATGTCCAGTTAAAGTTTTTCTTTCTTTTTTTGGTTGGCTGTTTAACTTTTTGTAGAAATGGAGTCTTGCTGTGTTGCCCCGGCTGGTCTTGAACTGCCAGCCTTCAGTGATTCTCCTGCCTCAGCCTCCCCAGATGCTGGGATCACAGGCATGAGCCACCGTGACTGACCTGATGCCTATTAAAGAACCAGAGCTCTGGCCGAGTGCGGTGGCTCACGCCTGTAATCCCAGCATTTTGCGAGGCTGAGGCAGATGGATCACGAGGTCAGGAGTTCAAGACCAGCCTGGGCAACATGACGAAACCCTGACTCTACTAAAAATACAAAAATTACCCAGGTGTGGTGGCAGGTGCCTGTAATACCAGCTACTTGGGAGGCTGAGGCAGGAGAATTGCTTGAACCTGGGAGGCAGAGGTTGCAGTGGGTTGAGATTGCACCACCGCACTTCAGCCTGGGAGAAAGAACGAGACACTGTCTCAAAATGAAAGGGTTATTCTTGGCCGGGCGCTGTGGCTCACGCCTGTAATCTCAGCACTTTGGGAAGCCGAGGCGGGCGGATCACGAGGTCAGGAGATGGAGACCATCCTGGTGAACACGGTGAAACCCCATCTCTACTTAAAAAAATACAAAAAACTAGCTGGGCGTGGTGGCGGGCAACTGTAGTCCCAGCTACTCGGGAGGCTGAGGCAGGAGAATGGCGTAAACCCGGGAGGTAGAGCTTGCAGTGAACTGAGATCACACCACTGCACTCCAGCCTGGAGGAGAGAGTGAGACTCCGTCTCTAAAAAATAAATATGGGTTATTTTCATTCAACAAAAGTGCCGCTGCTTTGCCCCATGAGTCAGCTCACGCTGACACTCCCGGCCTTTTTTTTTTTTTTTTTTCTTCAGAGAGGTCTTGTGCCGGGCTCGGTGGCTCACGTCTGTAGTCCCAGCTACTTGGGAGGCTGAGGCACGAGAATCGCTTGAACCCGGGAGGCAGAGGTTGCGGTGAGGTGAGATTGCACCTTTGCATTCCAGCCTGGGAGAAAGAACGAGACACTGTCTCAAAAAACAAACAAACAAACAAAACAAAACAAAATAGAGAGGGGTCTTGCTATGCTGCCCTGGCTGGTCTGGAACTCCTGGGCTCCAGCGATCCTCCCCCAACATCTGGTCATCCCCAAATTGTTAAGTGGGTGAATTGTTTGTTGTGTGTAAAGGACATCTCAGTAAAGCTGTCAACCGAAAAAACAAAAGACGGACGCGTGCACACATGCTGCTGGATCTAGCACACGCAAGAGCCGCCCAGGGAGCTGCCCCCGTCCTCACTGTACGTGTGCTTCCCCGTCAGGATCTGTTTCCACGCAAGGCTGGTGCAGCCGGGTCCTGACTGGAGCATCCCAGCATGGTCCTGCGGGCCCCAGGTCCTCCAGGCTCCCCGTGCATCCTGGGGGGACCCACGTGCCAAGGCGCAGAGACGGGTGGGGAAGGCACGGGCCAGGGCGACAGGAGTGCTGGGAGCGGGTAGCAGGGAGGGCTCCATGGAACACGCTGGGGGCTCTGCAGGGGTCGGCCTGGGGGCAGAGGTAGTGGGGGCCCCTTCCTGTGCCAACTGTGGGTGTTGCAACCGGTAACGGCTTCAGGGATCGCAGGTGCGGCCGCCTGGGCCGAGGGGAGACACAGGGAGGGAGGGTGTACGGGGTGGAGGCCTGTGTCTCTGTTTCTCTCCCAGCCCTCTTTCTGTCTCCCTCTCTGTCTCTGTCTCTCTGTCTCGCTCTGTCTCTCTCTCCCTATATCTGTCTCTTTGTCTCTGTGTTTGTGTCTCTCTGTCTGTCTCTTCATCTCTGTCTCTCTTTTTTTAATCTATCTCTCTCAGTCTCTCTGGTTCTGTCCCTCTTTTTCCGTCTCTCTCTGTGTCTCTGTCTCTGTCTCTCCATCTCTCTTGTTCTCTCTTTCTTTCTCTCCTCTCCTTTCTTTTTCTTTCTTTCTTTCTTTGTTGTTTTTGAGATGGAGTCTCACTCTGTCGCCCAGGCTGGAGTGCAATGGCTCACTACAACCTCTACCTCCTGGATTCAAGCAATTCTCCTGCCTCAGCCTCCCAAGTAGCTGGGATTACAGGCATGTGCCTGGCTAATTTTTGTATTTTTAGTAGAGACAGCGTTTCACCATGTTGGCCAGGCTAGTCTCGAACTCCTGGCCTCTGGTGGTCCGCCCACCTCGGCCTCCAAAGTGCTGGGATTACAGGCTTGAGTCACTGTGCCCGGCCTCCTTTCCTCTCCTCTTTATAAAAGGAAAATCTTCTCTCCCTGAGTGATGGGAAGATGCTGGCTCACCCGTGAGGCTCAGCCTCGCCCCGGTTGTGTTTTGTGTGTTTTGTGCTGACTGTTGACCTTCCCATGTCCTTGGGGACCCGACACCCGGCCGCCTTCCACATCCCCCAGGCCCATCCACCCACCTGTCCCCTGATGCCCCTCGCGGGATTTGTAAGCCAAGCCCGGACATTTCACAATCTGTACCGAGAATTCCCCAAATTTAAAAACCTTCCCAAGACACCAGTGAGTGGGGCGGGGTAGCGGGGTGGTGAGAAGAAAAGAACCGCTGGTTTTAGCCTGAGCACACCTGGGTCTGCTGGGAGGCTGCACGCGGCGGGGCCTGGACAGGGCTGTGGGGTTGGGGGTCTGTGGGCGGAGCCTGGACAGGGCTGTGGGGTTGGGGGCCTGGGGGCGGAGCCTGGACAGGGCTGCAGGGTGGGGGGTGGGTCCACGAATGGGACCCCGTTCTATGTCCCTGAAATCTGAGTCCGCCCACAGTCACACACAGCTCCGCACTGAGGGCCCTCGAGCTGGGCTGACCCCTGCCAGGGGAACCTGAGACCAGCACCCGTGGACCCAGGACGGGGGAGCAAGAGGGGCTGGGGGAGGAGGGCGGAAACCGCCCCTAGCAGGAAAAGAATCGCATACCAGCAGGGAGACCTTCATGACTGGACGTGGCCCCAAGCCGGGGACACCAGAAGCCCTTGAACCTCAATCCTGCCTTGGGCCTCAGTTTCCCCATCTGGACAATGATCAGGCAGTGGCTTCGCCTCTCCAAGCTCAAGCAGGGCCCCCACCAGCTGGCCTCCTGAGCCACTGGCCCCCCTCTCTAGGCCTCAGCTTCCCCCTATGTAAAGAGGATCCGTTGGCCGAGTACGGTGGCTCGCGCCTGTAGTCCCAGCACTTTGGGAGGCCGAGGTGGGTGGATCACGAGGTCAGGAGATCGAGACCATCCTGGCTAACACGGTGAAACCCCATCTCTACTAAAAATACAAAAAATTAGCGGGCGTGGCAGCGTGCGCCCGTAGTCCCAGCTCCTCAGGAGGCTGAGGCAGGAGAATGGCGTGAACCCGGGAGGCGGAGGTTGCAGTGAGCTGAGATCCGGCCACTGCACTCCAGCCTGGGCGACAGAGACAGACTCTGTCTCAAAAAAAAAAAAAAAAAAAAAAAAAAGGAGGGCCTGTTATACCCACAAAAGAAAGAAAAGCAGGAGTTTCCAACACAAACCTGCACACGAGTGTCCACAGCACTGAGAGTCACAGCAGCTGGAAGTGGAGAGGCTCAGACGTCCATCCACGGGGGCGTCCATCAGCACAGCGTGGCCCTCCACGCGCTGGAACACGACGCGGCCGTGAAAAGGAGCCAGGCTCTGACCCAGGCCGCAGCACGGATCCGCCGTGAGGATGTCACGCTCCGTGAGAGACGCCAGACACGAAACACCGCGCAGTGTGTGATCCCGTTGCTATGAACTGTCCAGGACAGGCCCATCCACTGAGACAGGAAGAGGACGCCTGGGTGCCGCGGACTGGGGAGGGGACAGGGAGTGACGGCTGAGGGGGACACGGATTCCTTTGGGGGTGATGGAATATTCTGGAACTCAACAGAGGTCATGACCACACAACACTGTGAGTATACCGAAGACGATTGAATTGCATGCTTCGTTTTATTTTGTTTTATTTTATTTTATTTTATTTTATGAGATAGAGTCTCACTCTATTCCCTAGGCTGGAGTGCAGTGGCTCAATTTTGGCTCACTGCAACCTCTGCCTCCTGGGTTCAGGCGATTCTCCTGCCTCAGTCTCCCGAGTAGCTGGGATTACAGGCACGTGCCACCACATCCCACTAATTTTTTGTATTTTTAGGACAGACGGGGTTTCACCATGTTGGCCAGGCTGGTCTTGATCTCCTGATCTCGTGATCCGCCCACCTCGGCCTCCTAAAGTGCTGGGATTACAGGCGTGAGCCACCGCGCCCGGCATTTTTAAAATTATTTTTGTAGAGACGTGGTTTCACTCTGTTGCCCAGGCTGGTCTCAAACTCCGGGGCTCCCACCTTGGCCTCCCAAAGTGCTGAGATAACAGGCGTGAACCACTGCGCCCGCCTCTCCTGCGTTTTCCACGCCCAGCCATCATATTCATATTTTACTCTGTATCACTTATATATACAATTATATTTATTATTTCGTATTCATGTTTTACTCGGTTTGTATTGGATCCAAGAGGCAAATGTTTCCCATTCTCTCCTGTGGGTTTTCTTTTTTTTTTTTTTTTGAGACAGAGTCTTGCTCTGTTGCCCAGGCTGGAGTGCAGTGGCACCATCTTGGTTCCCTGCAAGCTCCGCCTCCCGGGTTCAAGTGATTCTCCTGCCTCAGCCTCCTGAGTAGCTGGGACTACAGGCGCCTGCCATCATGCCTGGCTAATTTTTGTATTTTTGTAGAGACAGGGTTTCACCAGGTTGGCCAGGCTGGTCTTGAACTCCTGACCTCAGGTGATCCGCCCTCCTTGGCCTCCCAAAGTGCTGGGATAACAGGCGTGAGCCACTGCACCCGCCTCTCCTGCATTTTCTGGCGTTGCCCATGGAGCTGTGTGATACGTTCTCCAGCAGGATGAGACGTGGGAAGAGGGACTACAGTCTCACAGATTCGGGTTCAAAGCTGTGTGACCTCACGGCAGCCACCCAACCTCTCGGAACCTGGGCCTCCCCCAACACCCCACTGTCCGGTGGAGATAACACCAGCCCCTGCTTCCAGGGGATCCCTGAACGTCTGCACAGGCAGCGTGCCTGGCGTGGGTGCCCCTGAGGTCAGCGAAGGTGCCGCTCACGCCTCCCCACAGCCCTCCCTGATGAACAGAAACCAGAAGCAGAGGCGAGATTGGCTTCTTTATTACGGCCAGGGCCACGCCGGCCGGAGTGGGGGCAGGGGCGGGGCCGTGGGAGGTGGGTTCGGAGCGCGGGAGGCGTGGAGGGCAGGGCTGGGCTCTGTGGGAGGTCACAGGCCCCCCCTAGGCTGACACTGGTCCCCCGTTGAGAACACCATCGATCCAGTCTCGGAAAACCGACACTCGGGTGAAGAAGTCGGGGCCTCGGCCACAGGGCCCCACGGAGAAGGAGGCCACGCCGTGCCCCAGGCCGTCGCAGATGAGGGGGGTGCCCCCGTCCCCCTGGGCAGGCGGCAGCTGTGTCAGGGCGTCCCTGGGCCCGGCTCCCGCGCCACCCCAGAACTGCAGAGCCCTCTTGCCGTCCCTGGAACCTACAAGTCCTACAAAGGCCCCAGGGCCTTAGCACAGCTGTTCTCTCTCTGCCCTGGTTAACTCCTAGTGGAATTTGGGACCAGCTGCTTTCTGAAGTTTCCTGGCACCTCCAGGCTGGGCCAGGTGCCCCTCCCCTGACAGTCACACACCTGAGTCCCTCAGTGACCGGCTCTACCGTGCCTGCTGGGTCCCCAACCCCCAGCACAGACGTAACGTTTGACAGATACTGTTTCTCGGCCAGGCGCGGTGGCTCACGCCTGCAATTCCAACACTTTGGGAGGCCGAGGTGGGCGGATCATGAGGTCAGGAGTTCGAGACCAGCCTGACCAACATGGAGAAACCCCGTCTCTACTAAAAATACAAAATTAGCCGGGTGTGGTGGCAGGTGCCTGTAATCCCAGCTACTCAACAGGCTGAGGCAGGAGAATCGCTTGAACCTGGGAGGCGGAGGTTGCAGTGAGCTGAGATCACACCACTGCACTCCAGTCTGGGAGACAGAGCAAGGAGACTCCATCTCAAAAAAAAAAAAAAAGGGGCTGGGCACGGTGGCTCAAGCCTGTAATCCCAGCACTTTGGGAGGCCGAGACGGGCGGATCACGAGGTCAGGAGATCGAGACCATCCTGGCTAACACGGTGAAACCCCGTCTCTACTAAAAAATACAAAAAAAACTAGCCGGGCGAGGTGGCGGGTGCCTGTAGTCCCAGCTACTCGGGAGGCTGAGGCAGGAGAATGGCGTAAACCCGGGAGGCAGAGCTTGCAGTGAGCTGAGATCCGGCCACTGCACTCCAGCCTGGGTGACAGAGCGAGACTCGGTCTCAAAAAAAAAAAAAGATACTTTTTCTCATACTGTTAAAATGCTCCATCCTGAGACCCCCTCCTGTGCCGTCCTCAGCCTGAACTTGCTTTCTCCTGCCACGGAGAGCTCGTTACCTCTCCAGACCCCTCCTCCCGCCGCGTGGAGCGCTTACATTGCAGATGCCGGCCCGGCGGGCGAGCACACCGGTGCACACGTTATTGGGACGACACTGGTCCTCGGGGGTCACGGTCACGTTGACGAACCTGGGAAAACGAGAGAGACGCCCCCCACTACGCCGGGTCCCCCAGCCGGCCACCTGGCATCTGGTGCCGGCTTCCACCGTGGCGTTCTGCAGGGGCAGTGCCAGTGTTGCCACGCTGCTGGTGAGGTTGGCCTCGCGGTCCAGCTGGGGAAGGAAACGGAGTCAGGGAAGGGTGGCCCTGGGAACTGGAGCCTCATGGGCCCCCTGGCAGCAGGAGTGTCAGGGACGTGAATTGTAGTCTGTAAGTGGTTTGCACTTAATTCCTGGCAGGTGCCGGGCGCAGTGGCTCGTGCCTGTATTAGCACGTTGGGAGACCAAGGTGGGAGGATCCCTTGAGGCCAGGAGTTTGAGACCAGCCTGGCCAACATGGTGAAATCCCCTCTCTACTTTTAAAATTTTTTAATATTATTTTTGAGATCATTTTATCATTTTCTCAAAGAAAAAATCAAAAATGAAAAACATTCACTTGGTTCTGTCACAACGAAAGCATCCGAAAACGGCGTCGGTTTCCACCAACAGGAGGCTCCGTACGTGCACTGTGGTACATCTCTGTGTTTTGCTGTTTTTCTTTTTTTTTATTTCTTTTTTTTTTTTTGTAAGGTTTTTTTTGAGACAGGGCCTGGCTCTGTCGCCCAGGCGGGAGTGCAATGGCGCAATCTCAGCTCACTGCAGCCTCAACCTCCTGGGTTCCGGTAATTCTCCTGCGTCAGCCTCCTGAGTAGCTGGGACTACAGGCACCCGCCACCACGCCCAGCTAATTTTTGTATTTTTAGTAGAGACGGGGTTTCACCATGTTGGCCAGGCTGGTCTCGAACTCCTGACCTCATGATCCACCTGCCTCAGCCTCCCAAAGTGCTGGGATTACAGGCGTGAGCCACCGCGTCCGTATTTTTTCACAGAGACCGAGTTTGAACGTGTTTCCCTGGCTAATGTTGGCCTCCTGAGGTGCTGGGGCCACAGGTGTGAGCCCCACACCAGCCTCTCACCTGAAGCAGCACCAGGTCGTTCAGGTTCTGCTGGGGGTCGTAGCCATTCTCACTCATGCTGCTGATGGAAAACGTCTGGCGGGACCGCCTCTCCCGCCGCCTCAGGTCATAGGCGCCCAGCACCACGGTGACAGTCGCGGGGTTCCTGAGAGCAGTGGAGGAAAGGGCAGAGGGAGGACACCAGGCTGGGGCCTGGGCACAGGGCAAGCCGGCTTGCAAATTAGGGGGAATCCAGCCTGCAGACTGAATTCCTTCACCCTGAAAACTCCCCTCCTTTTACAGAAGCGGAGCTGAGACCCTCCAGGGCCCCCTCCCCATCCTGAGCCCCTTCCCTTCTCTGGGCCTCCTCCATCTGACCCCCTTCCCTTCTCTGGGCCTCCTCCATCTGACCCCCTTCCCTTCTCTGAGCCCTCCTCATCTGACCCCCTTCCCTTCTCTGGGCCTCCTCCATCCGAGTCCCTTCCCTTCTCTGAGCCTCCTCCATCTGACCCCCTTCCCTTCTCTGGGCCTCCTCCATCGAGTCCTTCCTTCTCTGGGCCTCTCCATCTGACTTCCCCTTCCCTTCTCTGGGCCTCCTCCATCCGAGTCCCTTCCCTTTTCTGGGCCTCCTCCATCTGAGTCCCTTCCCTTCTCTGGGCCTCCTCCATCCCAGCCCCCTTCCCTTCTCTGAGCCTCCTCCATCTGACCCCTTCCCTTCTCTCAGGCCTCCTCCATCCAAGTCCCTTCCCTTCTCTGGCCCTCCTCCATCTGACCCTCTTCCCTTCTCTGGCCCTCCTCCATCCGAGTCCCTTCCCTTCTCTGAGCCTCCTCCATCTGACCCCCTTCCCTTCTCTGAGCCTCCTCCATCTGACCCCCTTCCCTTCTCTGAGCCTCCTCCATCAGCCCCCTTCCTTCTCTAGGCCTCCTCCCATCCGGGAGTCCTTCCCTTCTCTGGCCCTCCTCCATCTGACCCTCTTCCCTTCTCTGGCCCTCCCTCCATCACAGGCCCCTTCCCTTCTCTGGGCCTCTTCCATCTGACCCTCTTCCCTTCTCTGAGCCTCCTCCATCCGGAGTCCTTCCCTTCTCTGAGCCTCCTCCATCCGAGTCCTTCCCTTCTCTTGAGCCTCCTCCATCTGACCCTCTTCCCGCCTGCCTGGCCCTCCTCCCATCCGAGTCCCTTCCCTTTTCTGGGCCTCCTCCATCCAAACCCCCTTCCTTCTCTGGCCTCCTCCATCCCAGGCCCCTTCCCTTCTCTGAACCTCCTCCATCTGACCCTCTTCCCTTCTCTGGCCCTCCTCCATCCGAGTCCCTTCCCTTCTCTGAGCCTCCTCCCATCATGCCCCTTCCCTTCTCTGAGCCTCCTCCATCAGCCCCCTTCCCTTCTCTGAGCCTCCTTCATCTGACCCCCTTCCCTTCTCTGGCCCTCCTCCATCCGAGTCCCTTCCCTTCTCTGAGCCTCCTCCATCTGACCCCCTTCCCTTCTCTGAGCCTCCTCCATCTGACCCCCTTCCCTTCTCTGAGCCTCCTTCATCTGACCCCCTTCCCTTCTCTGAGCCTCCTCCATCTGACCCCCTTCCCTTCTCTGAGCCTCCTTCATCTGACCCCTTCCTTCTCTGGCCTCCCCTCCATCCCCAGGCCCCTTCCCTTCTCTGAGCCTCCTCTATCCTCTCCAATCCAAGTCCTTCTCTTCTCTGGACCTCCTCCCATCTGACCCTCTTCCTTCTTTGGCCCTCCTCCTCTGGAGTCCTTCCCTTCTCTGGGCCTCCTCCATCCCAGCCCCTTCTCTTCTCTGCTCCTCCTCCTCAGCCCTTCCCTTCTCTGAACCTCCTCCATCTGAGCCCCTTCCCTTCTCTGAACCTCCTCCATCTAGCCCCTTCCCTTCTCCTCCTCCATCTGAGCCCCTTCCCTTCTCTGAACCTCCTCCATCTGAACCCCTTCCCTTCTCTGGGCTTCCTCCATCTGAACCCCTTCCCTTCTCTGGGCTTCCTCCGAGTCCCCCAGTATCCTTGGGTCCCTCCTCAACTCATTCCCCATTTCCCTCTCCAAGCCCCTCCTTTTCCTGAGCCCCTCCTTTTACAACCCCCTCCCCTCCTCACCTACCAAGCACCCCCACTGAATCCCCTAAGCCCCCCAAGCCCCTTCTCTGAGCCCCAGTGCCCCCCAGGCCCCTCCCCAGGCCCGCCTCACTGGTTTCGGAAGCAGCTGGCCGCGCTCATCACGAAGCGGGGATGGATCAGGGCACCCCCGCAGAAGTGCCTCCCTTGATTCTGGATGGAGGCCAGGAACGGGAACTGGCGGGGTCTCGCCTTCCGGCCGCCCACGATGTCCACGAGGGGGCTGGAGCCTGGGTCGGGGGAAGGCAGCGCTGAGATCCCCGAGAACCCACTCAGTGGCCGGGAGGGCGCATGAAGCTCCAGACCCAGCTCCATCCACCCAGTGGAGGGCGTGTGAGGCTCCAGACCCAGCTCCATCCACCCAGTGGAGGGCGCGTGAAGCTCCAGCCCCAGCTCCATCCACACAGTGGGGCTACAGGAGGACCCACCCTCCCCCATCGTCCCACTCCCAAAAAGGACAGGTGGGCCCTGAGTCCCACACACCCTCCGCCCGCACGCCTCTCCCGGGACTGTCCAGGCTGGGCTGGCTGTGTGACCCAGGCCAAGCCGCTTGCCTTCTCTGTGCCTTGAGTCTGAGCTCTGCCCTGGCAGCCGGGCCCCCAGCACAGACTGGGGACCACCTGGCACACACAGGCACTCACCGGCCCTCGAGGACGCCAGAACACCAGCCAGCAGGGCCAGGACTGTCAGCCGGGTCATGGTGGAGCAGCTCTGTGGCTAAGGCGGTGGCCGCCCTTATACGCCGGCCTTGGCAGTTGGCGGCGTCCCCACCCAGGCCCAGGGACAGCCCCACTCAGTGGGAACACGGGAAGTTGCCCAAGGCCTCCACCGCCAACTGCTCCCCGGGCCAGCCTGGGCTCCCCCGACGTCCCGCGCTGACCCTCAGTTTCCCCTTCTAGAAGATGGCCGCACCCTCAGGGGCAGACGAGGGTGACAGGAACCAGTGGATCCCGGGGCCCAGCACACGGCGGGAATGCAGTGGCACCCAGCAGACACCAGCCATGCTGCCAGCTCAGAGTCCCGGTCTCCCCATCCCAAGCCACTGGGGCTCCACCACTGCCCACTGGCCCTGGCACCAGGGCAGCTCAGGGCAGTGGAGCTGGCAGGCCTGCGTTGAGTCCTGCCAGGTCTGCATGGGTGATTATCATTATTATTATTATTATTATTATTATTATTATTATTATTATTATTTTGAGACGGAGTTCCCCTCTTGTTGCCCAGGCTGGAGTGCAATGGCGCGATCTCAGCTCACTGCAACCTCTGCCTCCCAGGTTCAAGTGATTCTCCTGTCTCAGCCTCCCAAGTAGCCAAGATTACAGGCGCCCGCCACCACACCAGGCTAATTTTTTGTATTTTTAGTAGAGATGGGGTTTCACTATATTGGCCAGGCTGGTCTCAAACTCCCGACCTCAGGTGATCCACCCGCCTCAGCCTCCCAAAATGCTGGGATTACAGGTGTGAGCCACTGTGCCTGGCTGGGTGATTTTTTTTTTAACCTTTTCAACAGCTTTATTGAGATGTAATTGTCAAGCCAGGCGCGATGGCTCCCACCTGTAATCCCAGCATTTTGGGAGGCCAAGGCAGGCAGATCACCTGAGGTTGGGAGTTTGAGACCAGCCTGGCCAACATGGTGAAAGCCCGTCTCTGCTAAAAATTTAAAAATTAGCCAGGTGTGGTGGTGCATGCCTGTAATCCCAGCTACTTGGGAGGCTGAGGCAGGAGAATCGTTTGAACCTGGGAGGCAGAGGTTGCAATAAACTGAGATCTCACCATTGCACTCCAGCCTGGGTGACAGAATGAAAATTTATCTCGGAAAAAAAAAAAAAAAAAAAAGATATCATTCACCTACGACAAAATTCACCCATTTAAAATGTGCCATTCGGGGGTTTTGAGGATCTTCATGGATCTGTGCCGTTATCACCACAGTCAGTTTTAGGATATTTTCATCACCCGCAAAAGAAATCCCGACCAGGCTGGGCACAGTGGTTCATGCTTGAAATTCTAACATTTTGGAGTCCAAGGCAGGAGGATCGCTTGAGCTTAGGAGGTTGAGACAAGCCTGGACAACACAGTCAGACCCTGTCTCAAAAATAAGCAAATAGAGCCTAGCCAACATGGTGAAACTTTGTCTCTACAAACAAAACAAAACAAAAATTAGCCGGGTGTGGGATTGGTGCGGTGGCTCACGCCTGTAATCCCAGCACTTTGGGAGGCTGAGGTCTCAAATACAAATAGAGCCTAGCCAACATGGTGAAACTTTTTAGACCCTACAAACAAAACAAACAAAAATTAATGGGTGTGGACAGCGGCTCACGCCTGTAATCCCAGCACTTTGGGAGGCTGAGGTGCACAGATCACCTGAGGTTACGCCTGCCACCAGCTCACCAACATGGAAACCCGTCTCTACTAAAAAAATACAATATTAGCCAGGCGTGGTGCGGCTTGTAATCAGCTACTTAGGAGGCTGAGGCAGGAGAATCTACTAACTGGAGGCGGAGGTTACAGAGAGAGAGCTGAGATCACCCATTGCATCACTCCAGTCATGGTATACAAGAGCAAACTCTCTCAAAAAAAGAAAGAAAGAATCAGCCGGGCGGGTGGCGGGAGCCTATAGTCCCAGCTGTTGGGAGGCTGAGACAGATAATCACTTGAACTCAGAGGAGCGGCAGTGAGCCGAGATTGTACCACTGCACTCCAGCCTGGGCGATGAGACTCGTCTCAAAAAATAAAAATAGGCCAGGTGTGGTGGCTCATGCCTGTAATCCCAGCACTTTGGGAGGCTGGGAGTGGGCGGATCACAAGGTCAGGAGATCGAGACCATCCTGGCTAGCACGGTGAAACCCCCGTCTTCCTACTAAAAATACAAAACATTAGGTCGGGCGAGGTGGTGGGCAATTTTTTCTGTAGTCCCAGCTACTAGGGAGTCTGAGGCAGGAGAATGGCGCGTGAACCTGGTGGCGGAGCAGTGACAGATCCGGCCACTGCACTGCAGCCTGGTGATACAGAGCGAGACTCCTCAAAAAATAAAATAAAAAATAAAATAAAAATTAAAAATAAAAAAACAAATAAAAACTACATAAAAATAAAGACAAAAATGTCCAGAACAAGCAAATCTGCAGAGAAGTAGAAGTATGGATCTGTGGCTTTTCAGGCTGGGGAGAGGGAGGGATGGCTGATGGAGACGGGGCTTCCTTCTTTGGGGACATCGTTCTGGGACTCAGACGGCAGTGAGGTTGCACACAACCAGAATGCACCGAAAACCACTTAACCAGACTACCAAAGTGGCTAATTTAAGTTACGTAAATTTCATCTCCTTTTTTTTGTTTTTTAGAGTCAACTTTTCACTGTCGCCAGGCTGGGCAGTGGCAGACTGCTCACTGCAGCCTCAACTCCCACCCGTGATCCTCCCGCTTCAGCCTCCGAGTAGCTGGGACTACTGAGGCGCCCATCACACCCGGCTAATTTTGTATATTTTGTACAGCTGGGATCTCTACTGTTGCTCAGGAGTGCAGTGGCAGGATCTCAGCTCACTGCAGCCCGACTCGGTTCCAGCAATCCTCCCGCCTCAGCCTCCTGAGTAGCGGGACGGCGCCACCATGCCTGGCCAATTTTTGTATTTTTGCAGAGGTGGAGTCTCACTGTGTTGCCCAGGCTGGTTTGAACTCCTGATTCTCAAGCAATCCACCCGCCTCGGCCTCCGAAACTGCTGGGAGCACAGGTGAGCTGGTCGATGCGCACTTCCCTCCATTTTCTACCACGTACCACTTCCCAAGGTGAAACTGAGGTCAAGCCACGTGCCTCTACACCCTCGGGGACACCAGCTGTGTCTGTTTAGGGGCTTCTTTGAGGCAGTAATTTCCGGCGCTTACGGGAGAACTTAGGAGGTGGGGCCAGGTGTGGCTGAGGTCTGCTGCCCAGGGTAGGTCCCAGGGTCAACTGCCCCACTAGCCTCACAGCTCAGCCACCACAGGTCCACGGCATGCCCTCAGACTCCTGCTCCATCCAGCTGCCAGCTCTCCTTTCGCCACCCCAGATCCCACCTGTCCATCTTCCCGACTGAGGCCCTACCTCCTCCACCCTGCCTGGCCATCAGGCCTCAGCTCTCCCTGGCCAGCTCCCCATTTCCTTCCACTGGGAGCCCGGCTCTGTCCTCCCATCACGTGACTGGCAACCCGTCTGCCGGCCAGTGTGCCCTGCAACAGGGACAGACCCTGCCTTCTAGACAGAGCACTGCCGAGCATGAGGGTTCTATTTCAAAAGTTTTGAGGCCGGGTATGCGGCCTGCCTGTAATCCCAGTGCCTGGGAGGCTGAGGAGGATCACTGAGCCCAGTAGCTTGAGATCAGCCTGGCTACGGGTGAGACCCCTGACTCCTATTAATAAATAAATAAGAGGTCAATTAGCCTGTCATCCCAGCACTTTGGGAGGCCGAGATGTTGAGGTCAGAGACTCGCCTGACCATGGGGAGATTCCCACCATACCAGTTGTGGCGGGCCTGTAATCCCAACTACTCAGGAGGCTGAGGAATGAACCCAGGAGGAGAGTTGCGATGAAATTGTGCACCACTGCACCAGCCTGCGGAACAGAGCAACAATCCATCTCAAAAAATGGGTATTACCTACACACTTTATTTATTTTTTATTTTTATTTTATATTTTTGAGATGAGTCTCGCCCCAGGCTGAGGCACAGGTGCGCTCAGCTCACTGCAAGCTCCACCCACCCAGACCACGCCTTATAATTCTCCTGCCTCAGCCTCCAGAGTAGCTGGGACTAAATAGGCGCTTGCCACCCCGCCCCGGCTAATTTTTTTTATTTTTAGTAGAGACGGGGTTTCACCAAAGAAGCAGATGGTCTCGATCTCCTGACCTCATGATCCACTCCGCCTAGGCCTCCCAAAGTGCTGGGATTGCGCGTGCAGCCACCGCGCCCAGCTACACACAATACTTTTAACAAAGTTTTTGAGCACTGCGGCGTTTAACTCTCCGGCCTGCTCTGAACTCTGCATGGTTTCTCATTGCCCCACACTCAAGCTCAGGCCTCAGCCACATGTGCTCATACAAGGCTCACCTACTACTGGCGATCCTAGGGTGAAGATTCTGAGACTCTCTGTGATCTCTGTTGGACCTCAAGGCCAGGTGGTTCTCTGGCCACCCCTCCCACTCCTGACCCCAGTTCCCCACAATTGCATTGTCTTCCTCCTCCCCGGAGAGCCGTTTGTGGTCACTCCTAACACCCAGATTCCCAACGGTCACCCCGGGCCTTCCCCCACCTCTCAGGCCGCACAGGCAATGTCCTCTGTGGGGCCATTGGGGAGAAACGGGATCACATTTCCAATGGGACCCACTCAGACTACCAGGGCCTCCCACTCCTCTGGTGAACCCCACAAAGACCCTCTCCCCAGGCAGTTCCAGGCAAGGGCCTGTCCCAGGGCGGCCACCTCTGAATCCGCCTCAAAGGCAGCATCCATTGTTCTATCCATTCCCATCACCATTTAACTGTTTGGAAGGTGGCCACTTCTTCCCCAGGGGCAGCAGTGCCTGCTATGAGCAAACTAAGGCACTGCACTCCAACCCCTGTGAAGTCACCTTTTTTATATTTTTATTTTTTTATTTCAGATGAGTCTCCTCTGTCGCGCCAGGCTGGAGGTGCACGGCGCCATCCGAGTTCACTGCAACCTCCGCCACCCAGGTTCAAGCAACTTTCTGGGTCTCTTTAGCCTCCTTATGTAGCTGGGATTATGGTTTCACCATGTCCGGCTAATTTTTTTTTTTTTTTTTTATAGCAGAGTCTGGCTCTACGTCAGGCTGGGGAGTGCAGTGGCCAGATCTCGCTCACTGCTGCCTCTGCCTGGGTTACACCATTCTCTGCCCAGCCTCCTGTTGGGACCACAGGCTCGCCACCGCCCGCTAGTTTTTGCATGGTAGAGACGGTTTCACCGTATAGCTGTGATGGTCTCGATTCCTGACCTCGTGATCCGCCTGCCTCGGCCTCCCAAAGTGCTGGGATTACAAATGTGAGCCACCGCACCCGGCCTTTAATTTTTATATTTTTAGTAGAGATGGGATTTCACCATGTTGGCCAGGGTGTTCGAACGATTGCCTCAAGGGATCCTCCGGCCTCTGCTTCCCAAAAATGCTGG